CAGGAATGAATACAGAATAGTTTCGTTGAAAATTGTTAAAAGGTTGAAATTACTTAAAACTAATGCCACATGGCCTATATGTTTATGCCACAATCCACTGAAAGAAAGCCTTATCAACTGGATTTCTGAAAATATGTCTGAAGGAAATGTATTATTAAATGAGAAGTAACAATCTCAGTAAAAAAAACAACCAAAACAAAACTCAAAAAGAAACAGCGAGACAACAGAACATTCTGTTCCTGAAGAATTATTGTGCCTAAAGGGTAAAAATCATCACATGATGTGCCTGTTCTTTATGGAGTTCAGATATTTCTCAACTGAACAGATTGCTGCTGTCGTAAGGTTGAGAAAAACATACAAGGCAAATGTCAAACTGAACAGCATGACTTTACATTGAAAAGAGAAGGGGGGACTTTTGACAAGCCAACACCAATGGAAGCCTCAATACATGTCACTTTCAAACCCTTTGAAAAAAGGGGAACCTCCTGAAGACAGAACTGCTGCCTGTGTCTGAGCTGCTTGAAACAGAACCAAGACGAGGAGGAAAAAGCCACACACTCCCCACCTTAAAACACAAACAATGAAGAAACAGTAAAAATACTTCTGGACATAAAGCTGATTAAGGAAGATAAACCTATTTCCTACTTTTAAGCATATAAACCAGCTCTTTTGGCAAAACATTAAGCTTGTAGCAGATTAAGAATACCAGAAACAAATTTAGAGTCCTCAGTTAAAGACATCAATACTGGCTTAGTACAAGTCAGAATATTTACTAAAAACCTCCACAAAAACCCCAATCAACACAAAACCCCCCAACCCAAAGCCAGTCTTGATGGGAACCTTTATAGTGTCCCAATAAAAATGTACTCAACTTGAACTTTAACAGAGGGGTTTTGTTTCAGTAAAAATGTTAAAAAGCAATGAAAACATCTTTCTTTAACTTAATATAGAAAATTAGTAGCAAGTCTGCTGTTAACAGAATGCACGTCATCATGCTGTAGAAGTTAAGTCAAAATCTAGTACCTCACCCTTTGGAAAAGAAAAATTTGACAACAGTAGCCTTTTCCTTTTGGCTGATTGCCGCAGTAGGCAGTGGAGGTTGGGTGTAGAAAACAACTCTGATTTGTGTAGTAAAATGAAAGCAGCAGCTCCTGGGAACTTTCCACTCTCAAACTACTGAAGGGACACAGATTAGGGGTCAGGGCAGCTGACAAGTGCTCATGTAATATTTATTTATGAATCAGTCTCATCTTTCAGTGCACCAATTCAAACAAAAGAACTTGGTATTAAATATGCATTTTGTTAATTCAGGTCCAATTATCAAATAACTTTGTAACTACAGACAAATTTTTATTCACATATATTACCCATTACCAAAGCCTGAGGCTTATCTATATATAGACAACATACGCATGCATATCCATAGGTAATTTGAAGAGTTCAAATTAAAGAATGCTTCAAGGTTTACTAGCTAATGAAGGTTGGTTTTTGTAATATAGAAAGTTTAGTTTAGAAACAGAAGTTTTACTTTTCAGAAATAGATACTGTTACAAAGTGGAAATTTCAGAAGCCCAGTAGCAAATTTACACCAAGTTGGTGTTTCAGCAAAAGAAGTTCCTTGCAAAGTCAAAGTTAACTGTATTAAAAGTTACACAAACCCAAGAATGTGCTTGTAATTTTATATATAAAAAGTGACAATACAAGATCTGATTTTCAGTGATCTTAATACATTTTCAAAGTCCATAGTTTAATCCATATATTCCTCCCTTAAGCTATTACTTGAACTGACGCATGCTTACACTTTTGAGATTTGCATCAAATCATTCCCAAGTTTACCACTGCCGCCTATTTTAAAGATCTACGCCGGTATGCGGGTTGCAGCTTCCTCTTCTGCATCAGCTCTGTTAGCATTTATTTCTGCCAGTGTTCGACCAAAGCGAGTCCATTCATCACTGCGAGGAACGGCAATTTGCTGTTGACAAAGAGAATGTTATTTAAACCTACTGATAAATAAAAACTGAGCTCATTTTGAACAGCAGAGTGCTTAAGTAGTGTTCAGAATAGGTTCCGATAGAAAAGCTTACCTTTATTTAGGGTAACTTTTAAAATAGTCTGAACATCAAAAGCTCTAACTAATAAGAGAAACAGAATTTCACAATCCTGTATTTAAGTATGCAGTGATACGTCTCCATCTCAGAGACTGCCTCCAAAGGGGAATACTAAGGCCGTGTCCTCAACCAATCAATTAGTTACATACTACCACAGTACACACACTTGTAATAGCAACAGCTTCCCTGTAGGAAGTCAAGACTGCTTCACTGCAAATTTTTTTGTTCAGTACTTCTCAAGCTATGGTCAGAATTCACATGTGCCACAGTCACAGAGAAGATAAAAATCTCTACAAACAAAATCATTGATTCTCTCATCTTATTTCACCAACTTTAAAATAATGTTTTTACTTTTTGATTGGCTGCCAGATTGCATTCTAAAAAGTTATGCTAGACTACCTGAAATAGACACAAAAAGGAAACATTAATTTGAAAATAAAAATTAAACCTTATTCCTCTAATCACAGGGGAAAAAAGTTAAAAGCAAGCTACTTAAATGTTTTGTAATGTACTTTGCACGATACATGGTTTACATACCTCTCCCACGTCATAAATAACTATTTGTCCCTCTGAATCACCTACGGCAATCTCTCTCCCAGAATGTGTCCATCTCACACGGTTCAGAGCAGGATTGCCCTCCACAGTAATGCTTGCAGTTGGCACCTGTAGCCATTTAAAACACATTGCTAAAAATGCATGAGGATTCCATAAGCTACTGACTGCAGAACACATCTAGTCCTTCAGTATTGTATTGAAAGAGGTGTCCAACATTTCAACTGAGGCAGAGGATCTCAAGGACTCTCAGTGGCCTTAAGTGATCACCAGTGATATGACCAAAACAACACATCTTCTGCCCCTTGGCCAAACATCCTCTATCAAAAAGCACATCTGCACCTTTGTCATGGGACAGAAGGCGTAGACATGCATTCAGTCAGACAGCAAGGAGGAGCCTGGGGATCTCCAGAAAGATCATGACAGAGGGCAGGGATGAAATCAGCTGCTTTGGCAGGTCACATCCTGTCCTAAGGCCAGAACCAGGTAATTTCAATTTGAAGCCATAGGCTGGCATGTGGTCCTACAGAACTACTCTTTCTATATGCAGTTTTAAGAAGGTGAATATCTGTCAGGTTCTTCCTCTCACCTACCTCCAACAAGTTTAAGTCTCAATTATAGTATAAATGTTTTTTTAAGTTTATAAATCACCCCAGAAAACCCAAGCATTCAGTTCTCTAAGGTTGAGAAACAAATTACCGTTTCCCTGCAGTATTGCTATGGCAATAGGAACAACGGTGGTGTGTGTGGGTAACAGGTTTGTTCACACTGTTAAGCTACAGGCTGTCAAGGCCATACTGGGGGAGCTCTGTAATCACTTTCACAACACAGGTCAGTGTTACACTGAGAGATGTTTTGCACTTTTGTTACAGGTAAAACAATTTAATTACCGCTGTTATTCATTATGAGGACTCATTTGAGTTACAACCTCACAATCAAAGAGTGATAGCTATTATGCAGAAACTAGTGGAACTACAGAATATTTAAGAACAACAAAATCCCAAACCAAAATGCTATGGTAAACTCTTGACATTGTTTTCAAAGCGTACAAACAGTTTTCCAGCTACATTTGACAACCTGGCTGCCTCACCTCAGTATCATTGTTGAGATTCCACAGGTCAAGCCTGCCCATCCCATCCACACAGGCAAACAAGGCAGGGTGAGTTGGAGACCACATCACATCATAAACATAATCCGAGTTGTCTTCAAAGGAGTAGAGAGGTTTGTTATTCTGAAAAAAGCAAACATAATGTAATACCCAAACTCTGCACTTCAAAATTCTAAAGCTAACAGGTAAAGCAAAATACAGAACTTTGACAGCATTATCAGCAATAACTAAAAAGTGATTCACATTTTGACTTACTTTAAAAAATGCCTCTGCAAAAAGCAGGCAAAAATTAATGCTATTACTAAAGGGATGCTTTCCAAATCATGCAGCGCTTTTTTGCTGGCTGCTACTATAAAGCAGTCAGTAGCAAGCCAATATTGTAAGAGATTGTAAATTTAATGCATTAAGAATCTTGTAAATCAAGCCAATGATAATTCAGTGACATCATTTTGGACTCTAACTGGGAGATTCTAACTCTGCTTCCTCTGCTTTGCATTCCTCAGGGCATCAAACTAACAGAGAAAGGGGTAATTCTGGCAATGGGAATGATAGATACTGTAACTGTGAGTAACTCCCCTCATGGAGCTTAACTGACATCAGTTTTGGTTCTGTCCCTTAGTCCTCCACAAGATTGTAGCAAAACATTTGCTTTATGCATAATATGAAGTAACTGGTTTTACAACATGATTTACATGTGACTACATTGTAATCTTTGATAACATAGGGCAAAAGGATGAACGGAATGGATCAGAAATATACAAATGACGTACAATCTGAAAGCAAAGCTTTATGTTGTTAACTACAGCTTTGTTCATCAGCTACCTTGTCTTTGCAGGACTGCTGCTAGGAACCTAGAGAGCTTCATGTGATTTGACTTCAGTTTACTGAAGTTTCTTAAGTAGCTTACATTATAGCACCACCTTGTGTCAAGGACTATGAAGAAAACCACTGAACTATCTATTTAAGTTACCTTAGTTGTCCAAAGCTTTACTGTCCAGTCAAAAGAAGAGGTGACAAAAAGATGTGAGAAGTCTACAGGTCCAACTGCTGCATGGCAGTTGATACCTGTGATTGGTCCCTGGTGTCCTTCAAACATCTCACTGATTCCAGCTTTGCTGTTTTAGAACATATAACCAAGGTTAATTTATCTGGAAACCACACATCTGCAGACAGAGATAGCGCTGAAATGCAATTTAAATACAGCCACAAGAAGATTTTGCTGCTTTGTATGGATGTTACCCTGCTGCCAAAGGCTTCATCACAACAGGATCACAGAAGACCAGGCTTGAATATGGACCTTAACATCTATTTTCTGCTAACCTTAAGTGCCAAAATATACCGCAGGGAGAAGGGCCTCATTCAGCAGGTCCCAGCCCACACATTTAACTACATTGTTCTCCAAGCGACAGCTAAAACTTCCATTCATACAAATAAAAAAATCCAGTCCTCAGGAATGAGCATAAAACTCCCACTGACACTTAAGAGAAGTTGCATGTACTTTACGGACACAGAGTTCAGACATAAAACAGTAACAATATAACCCTAATAGTCTCCTATCAGGAGTGATGAAAAAGAAGGGGGAGAAGAGATGGGAAGGATGTTACACAAAAGTGATACAATTTTGGGTATTTTGGAACCAAAAAGCTGTGTAGCAAGGGTGATGTGTATTTGAGATGAAACCTGGACACTCAATTATATTTAAGAAAGCAATTGATAAGATACAGTCAGACAATTTCAAAATAGATTGAACAGCAGGAGAAAAGCTAGCCAATTTAAGATTGTGCGTGATGTTACTGTACAATTATCTACAGAACTGATACAAAGTTTGGAATGTTCTGCTGCAATTCAAATGAATAAAACCGCAGTGACCTGCACTGCCCTCATCAACACAAACAACTCCTAGTCACTGAAGGCAGCATAGTACCAATTCAATATTCCAACAACTTCTGGTTTTAATGAAGCTCTTATTCAGGAAAAAAAGTGCACACTGGAATTCATATACAGCTATTTTGAACTCCTTCAAGACAAAGGAGTAAAAGTGCAGTATAAATAATTTTAGGAGTGTCAAGCATGCAGGGACTTATCCTTTCACTATTTTTATTTCCTTTGAATAATTAAAGTTTGTATTCACCTGCCATGACGGCATGCAGTGTACACTGAGCCTTCTTCACTGCCTACAACAAAGTTGTTGACATCTCCAACAGGGAAGGACATGCAAGTAACAGCCACAGCCTTGGACTGTTTGTGAACCAGCTCCATGCTATCCTATAGTGAAAATAACAGCAACTTACTTTAAAAAAAAAAAATAAAAAATTGAAATATTAACATCTACAGAGTAATTTAGATTTCCCAATAGTAGGGGGTTTTGTTGTTGTTTTGTATTTTACTTGTACAGAACTGGGCAGGAATAAGAAAGTTATTTCTTGTTAAACTTGTGTTAACACAAGTGCAAGAAAAATATACAAAGGGATCAACAGACAATATTTGATTCCAGGGGTGGGGAAATATTTTATCAAATACTTACTAAGCTACCTTAAGGATAATTCTGTGTGTTGGGAAAATGTTTATTAATGCTTTTTAGATTCATTAAGTTTTTACAAAATATTAATCTGGAATAGATACTACATATAGCAAAAGTTATCTTACCTGCGGTTGGGAAAGCATGTCCAGACTCCAAGAGCATATTTTCCCGTCAGTTGAGATACTAATCAAATTATGAGCATTCTGGGTCCCAACAACATTTACACAGTACACTGGGTGCTAAGAAATGTAAAATACTATCAGAAAAAGGAATTTCCAAGTACGAACCAGTTCTATTATAATTAATATACAGTAAAATACACAACTTCACCATTTAACAAAGCATAAAAGATTGATTACAGTACAGTACAAAGAATACTCCCCCATAAAACTGGTACTTGTTTTTATGACACTGATTTTTATGACTAGCCCAGTTCTTCAGTGATAGCATTGGCAAAATATGGATATAAACATTTAAGCATTATCAATCAAGTGTGTTGGACAGAGTTTCCTAGAGGTTAAATACATCTCAACAGGGAACAGTCCTTGAAGATATTTCACCCCCTACCGTGTGAGCAGCAGCCGAAAGTGGAGTTCTCTGCACTGGGGTTCTCTTATTGCTGCGATTATCCCATAGCACTATCTGGCCTGAGTATGTGCCACCAACCACCAGATTGGGATGAAATTTTGCAAATGTAGCTGACATCACCGCTGACTGAAAAGAACAAAACCAAACACGACACAATACACAAAAAACTATCCTTCAACGATGCTGTCTAAAACTAAAGAAAATGAGACCAAATATCAGAGTAACTTCTTTGCCTAGATTTATTTGATACACTATTTCACTGTCCAATTACTTAAGGATTCACAAAGCCTTTGTGAACTCCCAACACTTTTAGTTTTAATTTGCATTCATAAAATGAAGTTTTCGTCCTTGCTTCTTTCATATGTATACATTTGTATTCCTCCTAGCACAGCCTGTTAGCAAGGGAAGGCCCAGTAATGCACAGGATTTTAATAATGTTTTGCCACATTCTGTGGTCATTTTCTTAGAGAACATACAAATCCTCTTTGATACAATAAAGTTACTTTTGCAATCGGGGCTTTGACTACTAGTATTCTGACACTACAAGATTAAATTCTAATTCAACTATGCAATTTTTCAGAATTATGGCATTTTGAAAATGAAGTGGCTATCCCGGGCTTGGCATAATGGCAGAGATTTGCATACCTTAGCTTTCAGAAAACTACTACAAAACCTCCATCTTCCTTTTTCTTGATGCATATGTTTCTAGTTTTCATCCTTGCTCCATCTCCTCAGGCCATCTTCATTTTATTCAGTAAACTAAGCTCTAGTAGTATACAATCTCACTCAATCCCCTTACATACAAATCTTCTTCGTGGTTCAACCATTACACAAGAAGGTTGTTTGGTTTTTAAATAAATTAAAATAAGAAAAATCAGTTCTCAAACAAGACTGAATTCTGAATGACGTCAGAAATTCTGAAACAGAATAATGTTTCTAAACTGAAGTCTCTAGCTATCAACATCTGTTTGCAAATACATATTGTTAAAGTGAATGCCAGCCCAATGAAATCATTATGTTGACAAGTATAAGGAAGGTACTTGTCCAAGTTCATCAACATAAAATCTTTAGCCTCCTGAGACAGAATCATACCTGGCAGTGAAAGACATACTCTGGGGTAGTTTTCTTGTACTTCATATTCCATACAAGGGCCACTCCATCAGGCTCATGAGGTGCATCCTCATTGTTGTTGTAAGAGGCTACAAGTAATTCTGGGTACTGTAAAATAAGTGAAAAACACTCAAAGTTAGCAAGTTGACTAGCTAATGGTCCAGACAATCCTAGAATCTTTGTTCTTTCTCCAAAATAGGGTTAACACCAAAAAAGAAAATCTACCTTACATTTATACATAAATGAGTTGTCAGTTAAAACTGTAATTGTTTCAAATTTAGCTCATAAAACAGCATTAACGTACACATTAGTCTTATTCTTTCATCATAACTTGCTTTTAAATGTAAACCCCAGTACTTTTAAGTGAGCTTTTATTAGTGAAATTAACAGTTGCCTCCATAAAGTAGTCCATAAACCAGAAACAAATATGCTAAAGACTGAATGTCACAATACAAACCTTTTGCTACTTTTCACAAAAGATTAACAGTTCCATTTACTTTTTGCAAACTATGGAGCATGTAAGGAACACATAAAGAAACACAGCCTGTATCAACTGTACTTATAGAAGAGTCAAGCGCATAGAACTAGAAGAATTTACAAAGATAACTATGTAATGTAAGCATTATTTTTTACCTGAGATGACCAGTCCAAACAACTGACAACACGATGTTTTGACCAACGTTCATCAAAAAACTGCCTATTTAAGGACAGTTTTGCTCCTGCTTGAATCTCTCTATAAAGACAATTAGGAGATATTAATCTTACATCGCTTTTTCAGTTACAAATACTGCACGTTCCCAGTAAAGTATTCAACATTCATGTTACCCTTCTTTGTCTTCTAAGTCTCTTCCACTGTAGTCAAAGAAAATGTTGATTTGCTCCGAAAGGGCTCTTTCGACAATCCTTGTGGAGTGGTCGAAGAAACTTAAAAATTCTTCAGAATGCAAAATTTGTTGTTTTTCCTCTTCTGTAAGTTCATGAGGGGCAGCTGGAAAAGAATTATACATACATTGTCTGAACTGCATACTTTCACCAATTCTTTCCAAGAAAGATAAAGAAAGTATTTATCATAACGTTGGAAAATTTGTTTCCTAACATCCATAGATTTTAAATAATTTTTCCATTTTCTATTTTGCTAGCTGATTGTTAAAATTTAAATCCAATTAATTTCAACTTAATGAAGAGCAAATAAGTTAAAAATTTATCAATGCTTTTCTTTACAGCACTCTCAGAATGTCTTGAGGTGAACTGTACCTTCTTCCTCTTCCTCTTTTTTTAATGTTTTTTCTTCTTCAGGTTCAACTAACGGTTTTGGTGCAACCACATCATCTTCATCTTCCTCATCTAAGGAGAAACATTATGGTGAGACTGTCAATGTTTTTAGAGAGGAACAGTAACATTCCATATAAATCTCAAATAAGCTGATGTAAAATGGTATCATTTAGCTTAAAATGGTTATATTTGTAAAATGTAGTCTCCAGGATAACATTATCTCAAACCAAAAGATCGCTGGAACACTGTCTACACCTGGATTTTAGTTGCACTAAATTATGTAGCTGTATAAACTGAAATAAGACACCTAAGAAATTGTAAAGAATCCAAAGTGGAAATCTCTCTTACAAGCATTTATGATTCCCCACAAAACCATGTGGTGGATGCATGTTCTGTATAACATACTGACACGTTAATGCTGCAGAATAAAGAAAAATCAAATGTCTAAAATAGTCTACAGAGCAGCTGCTTACTTGTGATCTGAAACCATCAGAGTCTAATGGGTCTTCACATGGCATGAAGATGGCTTACATTAGCTTTCAGGTTGCTATTCTGAGAGGCAAATTTTGCTAAAGATAATAGCAGGGATATTACATTTTTTCTGTCATTCTAAATGCAAGTCTCATTATCTGTATCATGTTTGGCAATGAGAACTTTGCAGCAAAATGTGTTTTCCCTAATTGCAATGAATAACATAAAATGTTAATGTTCGGGAATACTGACAAGGTTTACAGCACTTTCTCCATTTTTACAGTATTCAAAGAATAAAATGTAGACCAGAAAATAACTTTAAATTACTTAGTGTTGTGGAATATGCATTTCCTGGCTTTTCTTCATCCACTTTCTAGAACAAGCTTCTGAAAAGACTATTTTTATTGGTTAAACAGCTATGTCATCTGTCTATAAGGGAATGGCAGCAGGAGGCTGCTGCATGCCTCATCACAAGTAATGAGACAGTATTCAACAGGGACTAGGCTTGTTTGCTGCAGCCATCTCCCTGACCCATGTTCAAAGTTATCTGACAAAAAAAAAAAAAAAAAGTAAAAAAAAAATAATAATCCACATGCACACACACACACAAAAAAGCGTGGTCAAGGGATGGGAACCAGCTGCCAAGCCATGGTCCCAGCAGCCAGGCCAGCTGACTAGATAGCAGCAACCAGATGGTACTGCTAGGATTGTCTCTCTGCTATGAGGTGGCAATGGGATGGCACAACATTTTTCTGCCTGACTGCTTCCAATCATGTCTTTCCCCAATGGCAAGCCTGTGCAATTACCAGCACTCCAGGAGGTCTACAGACAAGCCTTTACCCTGCAAACAAAATACAGCTTCTAGGCCATACCAGCTGCCAAACCACACACATAGTGATAGGTTTAAAGAGGTCTGAAAATCTTTCTAACTCCATAGTATAGGCAATAAAAATATAACTGTACCTGCAGGAAAGAAAGCTTTAAATGACACTGTATAATGCACACAATAATACAAACTCCAACTTAATCAAAATGATAATGACGTATGCCAATCCTACATTACTTGAAATTGAGCGATTTTTACGTTCTGACAAGTTTACAGAACTAGGATAAATGGCATGAATGATTTCAATATATGCTCATACTTTTGAACCAAATGGTGAAGGTTAAAATCTTTCCTTTCAAGGGCCTCAATCAGCCACAAAGGAAAACAGTAATCACTGTCTTTTCAGCCAGCCCAACCGCATTTGTCAGCCCTTTCTCTGTCAATGCAGCCAGAGCAATCAACCTGCCAAACATTCAGAATGGAAAAACAATCTGAAAATACAGGGTATAATGCACCTGCCAGTGAAAATGGCCATTTCAAGAAAAGCTAGTGATCTCAGTGACCCTGCTGGGGAGGCGGTGGTGCAAAGGGGAAAGAACGCGTAAAAGAATTCTTAGTGATCTCCACTCTCTTGCACATTGACACTTCCTTACAAAGCATGCCAATTACAGCTTTTGTGCTACTTAAAAAAAATGAAAGCTTTTTTGGGCAAAATAATCACGCAGAGAAACAGAAAGACACTGCTCCTTTTTAGATGGATTCGCATGTACAGCGGACTAGTAATCTTAAAAACTGTGTAACTTGTAGCAATTCTAAAGAATGGAATTCTTAATGTCAAATCACTATAGATGTGAACACCGATTAATTAAAAATGTAATACGAGTTAACACACATGATTTTGGGAACAAATACAGGACCACATATTCACATTACAGCCACTTGAATAAAAATCCCTCTCTTGATCACCCTGCCAATCAATCTTGAAGATTTAAATGCCGTCAAATTCAGAAATTTGGTTTTGGGTCACCCTAGATACATTATTCTAGCTTTGAAAGTCCCAAATTAGAAATTTCAGCCCAACCCCCCATTAGTCATACTACACTGATTCTAAGTACCATTTTCAGTGACAGGAGTCAAATTCTTGTCAAATGCAGATGGTCAACCCCTTAGTGCTAAGTGACCTTCTAATCTGCATATTTTATTCAAAAGATCATATAGTTGATTGCTCCTGCCTTTTAATGTTTGAAACATAAATGGCATATATTATACAGAGATCTAAATTCCTTCATAGTACTTTCACTGCATACAGCCAGCTGATATTACTGCATTTAAATGCAGGATACAGCACTTATTTTAATATTCTCAAAGTATCAGACTTGAAATTGAACATGTCATCTCACTGTGATTTATCTGTAACTACATAAGTCTAAAACCTTCTCTCTAAAAAAGAAAAGTCATATGCAAACTTTCTCATTAAGGGATCTGGAGGGAAAAAAATACCCAACAAAAACCAAATAACACAAACCACTCCCACCCCCCACATACACAAGTTTTTGACTTCATTATCCAAAACTACAGTGCTTTCTCACAGAAGTTTACAATCAAAAAAGGCAGCATGAAGCTTTTAGACAACAAAAGAGGTAAGAAATTTTTGTTTTAATTACTTCTCCTGCCTCTCCTTTATGTTAAATTTATTAACTAACAGGCCAGGGGCTGTTATTTGCAAGGAATTGACGTAACAATATTTTATTACCCAGCAAACACTGAAAGATTGGACATACTATTTCTGAAAAAGTATTTCTAGCAAGTCAGGAACCCATGATACAGTGGTGTACTGCATTTATTTCAAGTCAGCTACATGAATTTGGAAACCTTAAAGGCATTGTCTAATTTCATCCTCATTCATTACTGACTGTACCTACTGGCATTTTATGCCACTTCATTGTCAGCATACCAAATACAATCTCACAATTAAAAAAGGCTGCTAAGACTTAGTCACAGGGCTATGAAGACAGGAAATGGGATTCTATGTCACATCAACATTTTGATGAATATTCATTGTAATATGCTAAGGGATTAACTACATGTTATTTCTGATAGGGGCACAGGGGATCTAAGGTTACAAACGGAACAGTAAAGATTGCATAAAAATAACAGCTACTTTAATAGCAACGAACTTCTTGTCAATGAATGCTAAAAACAGGTTTAATGAACCACTGAATTTTTACTTTGAGTTAACATCAAAATTGTGATGTATTTTGGCAAGACAGAAAAGAAAAAAGTGCTGTACATTAGGCTGCACCTAGCAATAACACTATAGAGTGAAGTTCCAGTTGTCTGAGTAATCTGTTGCTGCAGAGTAGGTTAATCAAAGTTAAATCATCTGTGAAATGGGTGGCTTTTGTTAAACCGAATGTCTTCGCATCAAGTTTTCCCATCTATATTTCACTGTACACTTAGGGCATGCACAGGATAACACATGAACATAAGCGTCCATATTTTTTAAAAAGTAAAAATACTACATTCACTGTAACAGCATCCAAGAAGCCAATCCTATACACCAACTTGTTATTACTCTGCTTAAGTCAGAATTAAAAGGACAATAATGCTTAATATTTTCATTCTGTGTCTTGGAGACTTTAACAGACAATAATTCCTCAAAGACTGGAGCTAATGCAATAATACTGTCTGCAGTTAGTTGTGATTGCACATGCACAATATTGTACAGCAGCACTAAATAACAAGTATACCATTAGCCCAGGAGAAGCCTTAATTGTAACAGCTGAGGAGAATCTTATTTCCCCTATATGCCTATCTTTCTTTGGATCAACTACTTCACGGACTCACAACAAATCTTTATTGAGTGTACTGGTGACAAATTTCTTCCCATGGGAATTTGAACAAGACGTTAGCAAATCACAAAGGAAGAGATCAAACAGAGAACAGTGTAGCAAAAAGTACAGATAAGACAAAAAGCTTAGCATCAATGATTACAGTACTCTGCATGGTGGCCAACGTGGAACCTGCAGAACATTAAGACATATACCACAGTTCACATCTGAATTGTATCCCTGTTTCTGAAACTGCTTGTGCTGCCTGATAGGAAGAAATGAGCGTATGAAGGGAACACAATTTCAAATGTATTTTCAGAGAGTAGATGTGAAAATTTGCTGCCTGATAGAGCATGCCAAATAGAGGCTAAATAACAGACCTAATAACCAGTTGACCACACTAACTAAAGAACACATCCTCCAAAATTGGACAATGAGGGAAGCAGGGAGCAGTGTTATACACAGCATCATAGGAAGTGAGAACTGGATTTAGATAGCAGAAAAGGGGATGGCAGAACAAGGATGCTAGGGAATGGAGCAGCCTAAACACAGGATGTTCATGTTATGATGGTGACAAAAGTTAAAGTGTAGTAACGGCATAGATGCTTAAGCTTATTAATTATGAAAAAAGGGAGGACAGCAGCGAGTATGGCACAACACTTATCAATCATAGAATGGTTTGGGTTGGAAGGGACCTCAAAGATCATCTAGTTCCAACCCTCCACTAAACCACGTGGCCCAAAGCCTCATCCAACCTGGTCTTAAACACTTCCAGGGATGGGGCCTCCACAACCTCTCTGGGCAACCTGTTCCAGTGCCTCACCACTCTTAACAGTACAGAATTTCTTTCTAACATCTAATCTAAATCAACCCTCCCTCAGCTTAAAGCCAAAGTAAGTTGATTTGGTCCCTAAATGAAAGTCATCATTACTATATCACAGAATGACAAAATCCCCAAAATCAGGAACAGGATGTACCAAGAGAAAAAAAAAAAAAAAAAAAAAAAGGGGGTGTGTGTATTTTCTCTGCTATATATCCTCAGAATAGTGAGCCATTTGATCATTTAATTTCATTTCTTTTACATAATAAATACAGCTGCTACAGAAATAGTAGAGTTAGAAGACTAAGCCTATTGAAAATGGTGGAGAAAAAAAAAGTGTGAAAAAAAAAATAAACGAAGTACTGAAGACAGACACATGTCAGTATTTTCATCAAAGCAAGAAGTTTGAGAGCATCAAGACCACCACCCCGACACCATTTCTTACTGTGTTTCTCTTTTTCTATATCCTTAGTCACTCACTTGTATTCATGGCACCTTGAGGAAAGAGCGGCTGTGGGTTGCACCCATTATATGAAAAGCCCATAAAACACGTATTGCAGATTTACCTTCCAACTCTACTTTGGATGTGGGCACCTTCCTATAAGAACTGTGCAATGCATTTATTAACTTCCCTTAATGGGGAAATTTAATATTCCGTACTGTTCAGAATACAGCGAATGACTTCCTGTGGCAAAATACTTAGTGCTCTAAAGATGACTCAATGTCTAATCACAGAGTGAAACTGATTTCTAGGAGAGATCCTGATTTTATTGTTTTACAATATTATAAAAAGAATCAATCTTATTAAGACAGGCAGTTTCTCAAATACTTTGTGGTCAGAATAAATCAACATATTAGTACTGCAATAAAATAATGGAAGTTGTGAGAACTGCTAGCACACTAAATGCCTCCACCTCCTAAGGAAACTGTCTCATTCCAAATTTAAGAGCTGGGCATTGTATAAGAGAAAGACAAGGCTATCTACTATTTTGGATACAACAGTTCAAAGGCGTGGAGAAATGTGGAAAAGTCCTAATTCCAGCACTGATAATTTTTGTCTTAGCATAAAGTGACTATAGTGCCACTAGCACTGAGGTCACATTCTAGCTCTACCATCTAGGACTGCATGCACGCTGGTTGTTCTTTCATTACAAATGGAAAGGATCACTGGCTCAAAACTGCTCGGCTTCAGCTGAGAAGCGTCCTGTCTTAAAGATAGTGGGGGGAGTTACTTCATTCTTGAATATTGTCTATGATGGTGGAACATGCCTGCACTATACAGAAGCATGAACATATAAACTTATAAGTATGGAATTTTCCTGCTTTGGATGTCTCAGTTACTGAATGCAGTCTTTTCTATCAACTTCTGAGATGAGTGACCTTTACATTTTAAAGCCAGAACTATTCAGGTGAAAGGTACTCATTTAAATTTAACTGTTTGTTACACTGAATCCAAAGTAGGCATCTCCAAAGGTCAACCTAAAATTGAGGATATGAAGCCTCCTCTATGTAACTGTCATTTCGTTTTGCATTGCCATCAACATTTCCATGGCAATTCAGAACTGGTTTAGTTTAAGAGTAGTTTTCTCCTACTTCCTAACTGTCGCACCAGACAGATTAGGTGTAGCTTGAATGCTTCCCAGTTTAGGTTACAATACAACTACATAACCATTGTGGCACGCAGAAGTGGAACAAAGAGGACTGGGTTGGTTTTTTTTTTTTTTAGTTTGAGGGGGTGACATTCGTTGTTCTTTTCTTTCTTTTTTCCTTAAAATCAGTGTTAGCATAATTCAACCTACAGCACATGTAGACCTAAACCTGCAGAATGACTGCACAGCATATCTAATAAAACTGCTTCTATTTTCCTTTGTTCAAAAGCATAGCTCCAACAGCATTTTAAAATTTCAAGATATGATAATTGAGACAGGTACAGTCCACTTCATTTTATAAGAAAGCGTGAACACTGGATCTAACCTAGCTGACATGCAACTTGTTGCTGTACAAGAGAGCTACTGAAGATTAGTTGTATGTGTAAATTCAGTTGCAAGCTCAACTTTCACATGTACTTTGTAAGATTATCTTTAATTTACAGTATATTCACTAAAATAAAAAAAAAAACTCAGATTGTGAGAAGAAATAAGAATCAACGAGATTTTAATTAGTGCATCTAACTGCACTCTGAAAATTCAGCATATTGCTTTTGTCAATTGTTTTAAAGACTTCAAAATTTTCTTCCCATAACCGAAATCTCTCACCTAGGGACTCCTTTTCTTGGAGGCTGTGTGATTTTTTTTTTTTTAAACCCATGTCCTATTTCAGATGTCATTATAAATTGTAAATAGAGAGCTTATTTATGAATGTATTTAGGCAGTCTCAAAACAGACCTTAAAAAGATCCTCAACACTGAAATGATGAAAAAGCATCCGTAAGTGACTTTTGTGAAGTATACATGCATAAAATAATGATGATGACCCTCAAGAAAACAGTATTATTTTTAAGATGCAATGGATCAGAAGACAACATCTGTAATGAGAGAGCTTTCTGGTAAAGGCAGTAATACAGATGACCCACATTTCCAGCTCCACTACAGTAAACCTCAACTACAGCCTATCCACTGAATGTGAGACTAAGATCATACAATCCCAGACAATTTCCACTGACAGCAGGCAGAAGTAAAACTCTTCAAGCACAGAAGCTATGAACTAAGTCTTCAGATTCCATGAACCTGACAGAGGGGAGGAAAAAATCCCTGAGAGATTAGAGAAAGGAAAAAGTAGGGGGCATGGGAGAAATGAAAGCAGGAAAACCCAAAACGCCTATCTGTGCAGGCATACAGATAAAACAAAGAATGGAAAAGAAATGTAGTCAGAGAAAAAAAAAGCATATCCTCTGTTGTTCTGGCTCACTGAATAATGAAGTTTGAAAGATCTGTTTGGTGTTCTGAAGACACACTGATCGCTTATACTGAATACCCAGACAGAAGAAGGGAAGAAACTTCTTAACACAGAGTACTGTTGCAATTTCTTCCTTTCTTTCCCCTCCCCTTTCCTCCCCACTTCAACTCATTGACAGTGGCATTTGCATCTCGTTAAACTTGCCAAAGTGACTTCAAGACACACTCCAGACAAGAGCAGCATATTGATGTAGACTGGAGCAACAACAACAATTCTGCATCACTTTATTACAGATTACACTCTTTATTATCTGTATTACGCTTTCAGGTAAATTATGCAGTTTCTGGAAACACCAGCGTAAGATTTCAGTTGAGTATTCTCTTCAGGTTTTAAAAAGTGCTTTTATCTCCTTGCATAAACACCCAAAACTCCACATACTAATGAGCAGGAAAATGCAAAATTATGAATGTAGAAATAGGTCCTAAAAATCACTAGCAAAGACACAAAGTCAGTCATAATAAACTAAGAGATTTTTGTTGTGAAACTACATACAAACTAGGTCAATACAAACTAGGTCAAGATTAGTATTTTCATTTGCAGCTAAATTCAAGTGTTTCAACATTGAAAAGCAAGTTTATTAGCCAACTATCTATGTTTTCTTCAGAAAACTTTCTTTTCTGAAAAGCAAAGAAGTCATGACTAAAAGAAAGCATATGTTCAATTGCTGAGAACAGAAACTGCACGGGTTAATAAAAAAATTAGTTCCTTCTTTTAAAACTCAATGTATAAGCTCCATGTATAAAAAATTCAAATTCTTAAAAAGTTGGGTGGTTTAACTGCTAAGTTTGTTGTACGGATACACAACCTTCAAGTAAGTTGTGTGTGTATTCTTAAGTGTCATAAATGCAAGATATATTCCACTTTTATTTATCAGTTGTCAGCTAATTAAGCAACTCAGGAACATTTAAAAGGAGTGACAAAATACCATGTATTAGTAGTAAGAATAATGTTAAACAAGATGCAGAATGACAGTAACACTCTTAAGGAAGACCTATATGAATTTAATAATAGAATTTATATCAATTACCTCACAGATCAACCTTTATTCTACCTTATTAAGTTTCAAGATCACAAGTGTTAGTTCTAATTCAGTCATCGTTATTATAATAAAAAAAAGAAAAATAACTTAGGTAGTAAGAAGTTAACCATTCACCTTCCTTTGGCTGAGTCATAACAGGTGTTTGCGTCTCCTTTGTATATGTAACAATTTCTCGAGGAGGAAAGTCAACTTGTGTAATTTTGGCCATTCCAAGTTTAACAGGTCCACGTCTAAATAAAATTAATAGAGAAATCAGAAAAAATATTTAACTTTATGAATTACTTCACATTTTGCCTAGAATAATACCCAAGTCATCATGTCACAGCACTGCTTAGTCAAGCTTAAATCCAGCGGAAACTTAACTCTGAAGAAGTCACACGATTATGGCTAATATTTTATCATCATTGTTATTTAAAATCAGCAGCTATTTATACATCTGCAATAAAAAGAAAGGTGCAAATAGATATATTTGGATTATAGGATATAAAGTTTTGCTCTTTGTGGTTGACTAGGGTACTGCTACATATATGACATATCCTTATTTTCAGTGGAACAGATCTGCTCACGAGTCATCTTTGTACAACAACGGTTCTAGGATTTTAAAGCTTAAAAAAACCCCAGCTTAGTTATTCTGAATGAAAAAAGCATTTCCTAGTCCTTTTAACTTTGCTGCCCTTTTTTGTCTACCTCTAAGATATTATTTAGAATGCAGAACTCTAAGTCTCATCTGAAACTTGCACACTGACAAGTGATTCATCCAGAATACATTACTCCAGAATACAATACAGAAAACCTCTGAGCTTTCTGACTTTAGCTTATGGAAGATCCCATAAATGCAGATATAGCTAGGATCAAACTGCAATGCATAATGCACTTCCAAAACCCACACAACATTAATTCAGTCATTGTCACTTCCTCAAAAGCTAATTTCAGTACGTATTGTAGTGATACTGCAATGATCCAACAATAATTTACCTATATCAAATCTAGTTTCTTATTATCCACCTCTGAAAGATAAAAGCAAAAGAGTAACTGCTTTTGAAAAGTTTTGGTGGGTAGAATCATATTTCTTATAGCACGATATGGATTTTAGTAAGTGCTTATAATATACAGCTTTTATAAACATATATTTATAAGAAAAGATGGGAGCCACTGCTATTCTAATCTCTTTATTTTAAAGTTTACATTTTGCCAAAGAAAGACTCAAAGAAAAACATGAGTAAGTTTTATTATTAGAAATAAGCATCTTATGTATATTAAATAATATAAAAATTTCCCATTGCAAGCAAACTGCACTAGGTCTAGGGATAGTGAATTTCTGTTACTTACAGAACAGTCTCTTAACAACAACTTGAAGTCTTAAAGAAAAAATAAGCTCTTATTATCCATTAAGTACATGAAAGAGGGAATATAAGAAATCTATGCAATACCCCAAATCGGAATCAGAGTGGAGCTGAAGAACTGATGGATCAGTATCCCAATGCAGCGTCCTGATACCCCAGGTTGAACAATCATGCAGCATTAGCAAAAAAGGCCAGAGATTAGTGAAGCAAATACACACTATGAAATCTAGAGTTACAGTAAGCTTATAGTTATTTCATTGTTCACAAGAAACAAAGCAATGTAACATCAGTTAAGGGAAATTCAGCAAACATTCAGTGCAATAATACATGCAGTCAATACAAAAGTTAAAAAGCAAACACAGAATTCAGAGCTATTAGAAAAGAAATAAATTATTTTAAAGATTGAAAGTTAAAGATCTGCAAACAAATGTAGTCTTTATGAGAGGCAAATTAAAATACTTTAAATACAGACAAGAACCCATTAAAAACTTCAAATTCCTTTTAAAAGCTGTTCAGATTTGTTCATGTCATATGAAGACAGACTTGTTAACGTAATACAATCTTGCCCAGAGCAGTAAATATGTGGAGGAAACTGTCATATTGGTGAAGGAAATGAGTCAACACATAAGCCTTTTGGTAGAGGGGCAAAAAAGCATTTCCACTGGGATAGAGAACTGCTAGAGTTTCCAAGATGTGACATTGCAGTAATTATGGGTTAAGCACTGCCTTGGGCTTCTAAGTGTCATCTGATTTAGAGCCAACTCCATTTCAGGTATTTAAATCTCTTAGAAATAGTGGGCTTTATATTAATAACACATTTTAAAGTTGTGGAATAATGAACAGAATAGATCTATTTCAAGTCACTTTTGTATCAGAAGAAATATGAAGGGGGAAATAAATCTTCTTTCTCCCTTCATTTTTAGCCTTCATCCCTTCTCCACAAATTTTCATTTAGTCTACTGCCAGCTATCAGGCTCAGGCAGAATTTTAAAACAAGCTTATAAGAGAGATTAACAGATGAACATACATGTTTTTTCTGAAGTTCTTAGAAGCTATTATATTTCTTTTAAAAATAATGTTTTATAACAAATAAAAATAAGGAATATGTAATATTTTAAAATAAGTCAGTAACAGGTAATTTTCCATTTCCATCCCATATCTGGTAATATTCTCATAAACCAGGTGCAACATTTCTAAAGGTAAAGGCCATAAAACTTCATAAACATGGTTGTGTCACGCACTACCTTGTTCTTGTAGAAAGCGTGCATTAGAAAATTAATTATAGTTTAATTAAAAATTACAAATCCACTGTCTTCATGTTTAGCAAGTAATTCTACATAACTGCTATAATATCCACAGCAATAGCTTAATACATAAGTATCTAAAATCTTTCCATATCTTTTGTGGATCAGAAAACACACCATTTTACCATCAAGTTAATTAGTTTGAGTATACTTATTCTTTAGGTCTCTACTATTTTTCTTGACCGAATAGATTTAAGCTTGGAGTTTAATTTGGTGCCTGAGACATCAAGCTGGATATTGCTCATATGTTGTTTGAGCATACATTAAAAAAGAAAAGAGAAAAAAAAGAAGAAAAAAAACCCCAAATCCAAACCACCACCACTCAAACCTTCATGTTGCTTCTGCACAGGATGACTTTTCTACAGATCCAAATGCTGCATTACCATACTTGTCAAATGTTTTCTCAACTTTATCAGTCCCACTTGAGAGGAACTTGGGAAAAGGGCTATGAATTTAAAAGGCTTTGACTTTTGTGCCCGCTTAAGACCTAGCCCTTACTGAGGTTGCTTTCCTGTTTTCAAAGCATTCTTTTAACTTTCGACAGTTGCTTCAGTGGTACCAGGGATAGTCTGCCTTTTAAAATAGTTCAAGTCCACAAGTAGTACAGGATATACAGATAAATCTTTCTCAGAGATACTCTTTTAAAATAAAGAATACATTCTGAGATAAAACTCATCTATTATATGTGTACCAAAATTATGTAAGATTTGTTCCTTTTGATTTCCCAATGGTTATTATGCCTTAAATTAATTTATCTACAAGCTTCAGTGAACACAAGTTCCTATTCTTCCACATATGCCCAAACTTCTCTACATCCAGGCACATTCCTAACACTTACCAGATCTCAAAAAGTATTTTCTGCATTTAAACTAATTCTATGAAGCATCCACCTAATCTGAAAGTAAGCCAACTGTATTAATTTCCAGTCTTGAATTTATATTCTTAACTGAGAAAATGAGAGAAAGAACAGTACCACACTGGGAACCAACACTCTTTACTGATGAAAATAAAGCAAGACAGGTGGAAGTAACAGCAGGAACACAATCTGAACACTGCTCTACTAATTACTAAATAAGTTACTGACAAGATCCAGCATCATAGAGGAGAAGAGACTAAACTAACAAAAGGAGATCATCTTCGTAAAGTATAGTTGCAGCACGACCAGAGAACAAATGGCCACAGACCAAAAACAGAAAAAAAAAAGGAAAAAAAAAAGAAATAAAAATGAACTGAAATAATACATTAATATGAAAGGCTTTGTTTTAAGATTATCAAGCACAGTGGAACAACTTGGGCTTTCTAACACATCTCATATTGATATGAAAGACACCTGTGAAATGCCAGGTATAACGCTAAGGGATATCACACACTCCAACTTTTCCCATTAATGTTTAGGTTTGAGTGTATGTGTACATTAGGAATGCTGTACAAACCTGTACTAATAGACTAGGATATGGACATCTGTTTACTGGGGGAAGTGAAGAATGTTATCCAGTGGTTGGAGAATAAGCAAGGGGATTCTAACAGTGACTCTACACAGTCTTCAATTTAGCTACACATTCATACCTCCATGCTTTCAAGACCACAATCTTTTTACACTTGTCTGGGAAACTGTCAAGAGACAGATTTAGTTTTAAAGTTTGCAAATGTATGAAGCTATAGAGGCTTAGAATGTGAGTTTTCTCAAGGCTTCATAAGAAAATGTATGCATACAACATTATGTTACTATGCCCAAGGAACATACAGTCAGAGAGCACAGTATACCTATGAGGTGGAGATAAATTCAGTACACACCATGGCACTCAATGCAGACATGTGGCCTATAGATATTGTTTCATACTGAATGGAAATTATGTATGAATGGAAAGAAAACATTTTAAGAAGTCATCATCAAATAATTCTTGCTTTTTCTTCTAGATAGTGAATTTGAATATAAAAATCACAATTTAATAAGCAATAATCACATATTTCAAATAATTTAAAATTTGCTTGTTAGTTACTCAGTTAAGGAACAATTATATTCATTCTTTATTAACATGACCAGTTAACTTCAATTGCATATTGTGAATAAGCTATGCACAAGATCACACCTGGGCACTGTTTAAAAAAGAGTTTGGGTTCATATCTGCTGCCTGATGTATTCTCTGTTTTAACTTAATGGTTGCTACTTAGAAACAAGTACCTTGTAACCTTTGTTCAGGTCATTAAAATCTTGAGTATTTTCAGACTAAGATTGTGTATAATTATATATGCATAATCCACATGCATACCAGACATTATTGCAGTCTTTGTAAAAGATGTTTCGAACCAGTTTAAGTATTCACTCTTTCTCCAAAACAGCTACTTAAATAAGCACAAAAGTAAATGATGATCACTGCTTTCGTAACTCTGTTTTAACTAAACTTCTCCACAATGCATATACAGTAAAGTACAGGAATTGAATTTGCTGAGAAAATATAAGTTACCAAAATTAATTAGGCAAATACTGCTCTTATTCACAGATTGTGCATGGGAAACAATAGAAATACCCTTTGGAAGTAGTGCTTCCCACCTTATCATCCATATATTGCCACTCTGAATTCCTAGTTTAACAGAAATGTTTATCTGACTCTCTTTAGAGCAGCATTTATCAAGCTGTCATGCACAAAAAAATGGTCAAATAGATGTGGGAAGTACTGGAACCGAAAAAAAACCCTGTGGCTGTACTAACGCAGTCCTATGTTTTGGCCAAACGAGAGGGATTCTAAGTGGTATAGTTGTGTTACAGGGATGTCTGCAAAGTGAAATAACAAGAAATACTGTTCTGAGTAAGGAAAAAAAAATAAAATCAGAAGCAAGGCAAAGTTTGTAGGCAGTATCTTTTATTAGACCAACTAGAAAAGAGGAAAAAGGAAATAGCCTAAAATCCATATACACCCTTCTTTAGAAGAAGCTGGGAAAAGCCCAGAAGTTGGACTTTTCCAGTTCTCTATTGTCCTGAGACATTCATACTTATAAGAACATTACCACAAGACATTCATAATTTTACTTTAAACTTGCAAGTTTAAACAACTCCATGTTAATGTTAGCAATTTCAAATTAGGAAGCGTAGTTGCATTTCAAATTTCAGAGTACTTCTGTAAAACAGTCACTGTTTACAGATTCAGTAACACTGTAACCTCATATTATTATATTATAATCAAGTGATTAACCTTGATTTCTTCTACAGCTTAATTATTCAGAATACAAGTATTAAGCAAAGGAATATGACAAGGAGAGTGACATACCTAGATCCAACAGCGCCATCACCAGAGTCCTGGCTTCCAGCCTCACTTGGCGTACTCACAGATTTGGAAGACGGAGAGGTAGGAGGAGGGACTAAATAGTGAAACAGACAGGTATCCGCTGTTACTACTCGCAGAGGTTGCACAGCTTAGGATGTTTTCAAATTAATTTAACATGAAGTATTAAAAAAAAAAGTGATGGCGAACAAAAAATACATGGATGAAAATGAATAGTAGAAAGAGAGGGGAAAAGACAATGTTAACAATTCATGCTGGACTTTCATGCAATTGTTTGGCATTTATGCATCTGGAGCATACAAAAAGACATGGAGGGAAAGACATTTAAGAGAAACATGAATTGAAAATATATTTTATAACTGAACTTCTGACAAATGATGGCATCAATTTTCAAAGGGTAATTTCCACTAAATCATGTTGCTTAAACATAAAAGGAAGATAGCGGTTAATGTAGCTTTGACATACATTTTTCTTAAAATTTAGACATTCAATGTATTTAACTAGTAATTTTGTTTCAAAATATATAATCATTGAAGTGTCGATCAAAAAAAGTGGCTTTATCATACAGCATACTGTTATTTTTGTTCTAATTTGAATAAAATCAACATAAATCCTGTGTATTACAACAAAGTTTCCAGTCTTGGGTTTTGGGGGATTTTCATGTTTCCTTTCTTTTTACTTGACAAACAGTCTACTACTGTTATAATGAAACTTTTTCTTAAAAGCCAGTTAATTTTCATCATGTAGATGAAGATTGCAATTACCATTTAAAAAGCAACATGCTTTTTGGAACTGATACATAATAGTGAATGATATCATGCAATCTGATACAAACACAAAGCCATTTCGATATTTATTTTAACTTTTCTTTTTCGAAATAGTGAAACTCATTATTTAATGAAACTTTAGTTTATGCTTAAGAGTCAGGGTGTGTGTTGAAGGTCCGTATATGCTTCATTTTTCAGCAATATGCAAAACATTCATAGAACACATTCATTCCTTAGCAACCCTTGAAAAGAACCTTTAACCACCTGAACACAAGATATGTATATAAATTGATATCCACTCTGTCAGGGGTCAGGCAAAGGAGAATTCTGAATTTAGATTTGTAACATTTCTAGAGAGTTTCCCAAAATCACAAGTATGTTGCAAGTTCCGAAGAATGCTTCCAGCCCATCCCAAAACGGAGACATGACTCTGGTTGACAAAAATTCTACTCTAAATTTACAAAACTACAATGAATACTTTGATTTATTAAAAATTCATTCATCCTACAGGACATACTTTTACATAGGTCTAGAGTTACACTTCATAAATTCATACATACACATACTTACAGTTTATACATATATCTATATAAATATGGGTATGTATATATGAGTGTATATATTTATTCTTCAACTCATCATCCCCATCTACCGAATAATTTATACTAAAGGAAATGCCCATAGGCCTTTATAATCCTACATTATATTTGTGCGTTATCAGAAAAGATGACATTTTAATGTCACCCTTTCTTAATTGAAGAGGTGACATTAGAAACATATCTTGCTACCACGTACAAAAGCCAGCCAGCTCTATCTAGCAGTAACCATGGCCAAAGGAATCCAGTGGCTCAGTTTTGATGTCACAGCACCCTCTTGTGGGACAAACTGTTTTCAAGAAAGTCATCTCATTAGTGAGGTGAAACCTATTTAAAGACCAACACTCTTATGAAAAGACCAAGTAAAATTCCACCTGCCCCAACAGAGGATGAAACCATAATACCTTCTTGAAAGTTATTTTGGTTCCCTAACTTATGGCTTCTTATATAACGAGTATGGTAGATATCAAAAACATACTTAGATTGTTAATGTCCCTTCTCCTGTAAGAGAGCTACCTCTCTGGCAGTTAACAGGACAGGAACTGCCTTAGGAATTTTTAATAAAATTTTCTATGAAGGAATCTAATCTCAAGCTATCCACCTTCACCAACAATGTGAGCTCAAGCTATCTGCATACCAAGCTGGTCAGCTGTGAGGTAGTTTCAGTTCAGGTGTACGATCACTGTACTATCATACTTCAACAGTATCCAGTTGGCAGATTGGGCCTGTGCCTCAGGCATGCTACTGAGAGGTGGCAAGTAGGACATTTTAGCTTGATTCAGGATCTGGGTATCTTGAAAGGGAACAGAATGAATTCCCTGCAAATCCATATGCTCTGAAGAGTGTGGTTAAGTAGATGCTCAATGGAGTTAAACACACTTGCAGGGGTGTGCCCTAGTCCTGCACAACAGCACCCCAAAAATCTTTTCACAAACAGCTACTTGAAGTCTATGCAATAACTTGCTTCAAGGACTGACTATCCTGTGCGGTTTAGATTCTGTCATAGATTTTAAAAAAACCCCACAAACCAACAACCATATGCTTTTTTCATCTGCCTTAGCAAAACCTCACACAAGGAAGCGTTCAACTCCTAGTCTGTCTGCCAAACAAGATCTCTAGTAGGTAAGAACTGATTACTTAAAATGCTGTACACTAGTGATAACATAGCCCAAATCCAGTCTCTAAACCATGAGAACAGTTCAAACTACTAAAACTGACCATTATGGCTGTTGGAATGGGAGCAGCTAAACCAGTGTTTATTCCATGTTCACTTTTGAACACTTGAGGACTAGGCAAAAGCAATTATGAAGATAGTCACAGATACACTCTATCAATCACAAATTATTATTATTTTTATTTGCAAACTCAGTTGAAATAGACCCTCACCACTGAGCCAAACTGAAAAATAAGTTTTAAACCCCTTAAATTTCAGGGTTAGAGACAAAAAGTGGAGTTAAATTATCACCCTCTTTGCTTTCACCTCCCAGAGAGATGTGGCTATGTAAAGGCAAAAAGCAAAAACCAATATGCTAACCCATCCAGCAGTGGCATAGATATGAATCATCATGCTTGATAGTTAAATTTTATACTTAGCCTTGCTATTACTCCAAAGTCAGTCAGGTATTTGAGATAAGGAAAATTACAGTGTAAAAGATCCAGAAAGGTAACAAACCAACTCCACACAGAAAAA